AGAAAGTGTTTGCATGAGTTCAGTCCCTTTTCTATGCAAGAGAAACTCTCTCCCACACTACACGTTATTAATTCATGAGTATATTTTGCAGCGTGAACTGATGTTGATACTATTGGGAGACATACTACCCTGGACAGTGACTCCAACAGTCCCTTACAGGATGTTATGATGGGTCAGGGTTATACATTACACACATGGAGAATCTAGAATACTGTGTGAAGTGATATAGGTGATTCAACAGCTGAGGATTCATCTCCAAGTCAGTACTGCATCATTGTGAAAATACAGGTATAGAATGACAAGAGGTGCCAGATTTTGAATGAATATAAAAACGCCGGCAAGACCAGTCATAGTCATTGAAGATGACATGGAATGTTTGCTGGAGCATGTGTATTAGTTCCAGCACTTGAGTCAATCCAAGTTTGGAAAATTATTTAAATTGATTGGAGACGTTATTCTTCACTTCCTCTCCTCAAAACTGATTTGTAAAAAGGAGGGCACCCACAATAGCAAGGGGTTGGGTGGTGGTTAACCTAGATAACAGTAGGTTAACCTGGACAGCAGCAGGGTTTGTGGGGTAGGGAGAGAAACAAGCTAGCAAGTACCAAAGATGGTGAAAAAGAAAATCTGGAAGGCAGTAAAAGCTACACGAGGCTCGACTGCATTTTTCTGACCCTAAAATTCCTGGCTGCATCTCAGAGTGCCAAGTGGAAGTGGTGTGGGGTTTAACCACTCACTTAGTGGTGACTTTTATAAAATCATTATCTTATAAACCTGTCACGAGAGAAGGAAAGAAAACGCAGGCAACATTTTCTTTCACTGAGACATATTTTAGGCAAAGTTAACTTGAACAAAGAAAGATAATTGGCCTAATTCCATTATTGTTGGCAGTTTTATAGGTTTCAAGGGAGTTGCTGATGATTGTCACTAAGAAGTAGGGATATTAGATATTGTTTAATTGAATAGTCGAGTAACCATATTAATTCCTATCGGTTACTTGACTATTCTATAGTCTCTGGGGGCCAGCAGCCTGTCCCAAGAAGCCTCATGGACCGAGGCTACTCTAGGGCTGGAGAGGAAGGAGACTGGAAAGGAGACGCTGCCATGAAGCAGCCTCTGTCCAAGGAAGCCCAGGCTGACTGCAGACTGAGGGTAGTCCAGCAGCAGCCCCTGCTCGTTGGGGGTCCGAGCTCCCTGTGGACAGAGGCTGCTCAGCCTTCCACAGTTTCTGTTCCGGGGTGGGGTGGGGGGGTTCCAAGCTCCCCATGGACAGAGGCCAGCTCTGTCTGAGGACAGCTTGGGTGGGGCCCCTAAAAACTGAGGTACCCAAAATACACTTAATGCTTGTAAGCAAGAGGCAACATCAACCAAAACTTCCGATTTGTGATGCAGTCTGGGACTTCATTTGCATCATTTATGTATATCAAAGCAGTGATTGTTTCTAGCAGCCACATTATTGGAGAAAAAGAAAGGTCAACAATAGAAAAATAAATGTATGTTTTCCATCCAGCTGCATGGCTCACAACGGATGGCACCTTAAGCAAGAGACATATTGAACAAGAAATAGTCACCATTAAATAAACACACTAGTTATGTTTGGCAAAAACATGCCCTTTTCAGTTGATTGTACTCTCAGAAAAAAAGCAAAAGGTTAGTACTGAATTTAAAGCCAACACCTCAGCTGTCATTACATGTAGCAGCATATCAATACAATTCAATTAAAAATTAGGTATTGAGCTATCGGAAGCTTTCTGAACAATTATTGCAATTATGCTTAGGCTTGTGCTTCACAAAAGTATCAGAAAGGACTTAGAGTGTGATATCCTTCATCAGTCTTAATAATACATTAGATTACTGAACGAAAGTGAGATCGAAGCAGTCAAAGATTTAACGAGTAGGTTACTTGTTGCTGAAGTGCCTTTGTAGACGTCACACTCCCACTGCACTAATAATTCTGTGGTTATTATTCCATTTTAAACCGCTCATAATACTCCTTTAAAACAGATCTGTCCACAGTGAGTTGGACTGATAAAGCGCAGAGGGTGCAGTTGAGGTTTATTGTAGTCCCTCCTCACTCTAGGTCCAATTTAGCATCCCTCATACATAAAGAGCAGCATCAGTAGTCGAAGCGACGAGGAGTCCCGTGGCACCTTATAGACTAACTGAAGTGTAGGAGCATAAGCTTTCGTGGGCAAAGACCCCCTTCGACAGATGCACATAGTGGAAATTTCCAGAGGCAGGTATAAATATGCAGGCCAGGATCAGGCTGAAGATGACGAGGTGGATCCAATCAAGGAGGATGAGGCCCACTTCTAGCAGCTGATCTGAAGGTGTGAATTCCAAGAGAGCAGAAGCTGCTTTTGTAGTTAGCAAGCCATTCACAGTCTTTGTTTAATCCAGAGTTGATTGTGTCAAACTTAAAGATGAACTGTAGCTCAGCAGTTTCTCTTTGAAGTCAAGTCCTGAAGTTTTTTTGCTGCAGGATGGCTACTTTTAGATCTGCAATTGTGTGTCCAGGAAGATTGAAGTGTTCCCCTACAGGTTTTTGTATGTTGCCATTCCTAATATCAGATTTGTGTCCATTGATTCTTTTACGTAGGGACTGTCCAGTTTGGCCGATGTATATAGCAGTGGGGCATTGTTGGCACATGATGGCATATATTACGTTGGTGGATGTGCAGGAGAATGTACCAGTGACAGTATGGCTGATCTGGTTAGGTCCTGTGATGGTGTTGCTGGTGTATATATGTGGGCAGAGTTGGCACCGAGGTTTGTTGCAAGGATTGGTTCCTGAGTTCGAGTTATTATGGTGCGGTGTGTAGTTGCTGGTGAGAGCTCCCAAAGCCTGTGAAAGTGAGGAATCATTGTCCAGGATGGGTTGTAGATCACTAATGATGCATTGGAGAGGTTTTAGCTGGGGACTGTAGGTGATGGCCAGTGGTGTTCTGTTGGTTTCTTTCTTGGGCTTGTCCCGTAGCAGGAGGCTTCTGGGTACACGTCTGGCTCTGTCAATCTGTCTCCTCACTTCCTTGTGTGGGTATCGCAGTTTACAGAATGCTTGTTGAAGATCTTGTAGGTGTAGGTCTCTGTCTGAGGGGTTGGAGCATATGCGGTTGTACCTCAGTGCTTGGCTGTAAACAATGGATCGTGTGGTGTGTCCAGGATGGAAACTGGAGGCATGCAGGTAAGTATAGCAGTCGGTAGGTTTTCGGTATAGGGTGGTATTGATGTGACCATCACTTATTTGTACCGTGGTGTCCAGGAAATGGACCTCCCATGTAGATTGGTCCATGCTGAGTTTGATGGTGGGGTGGAAGCTGTTGAAATCATGGTAGTCGAAGCGGATCCTGAAGCTCAAGAGTTCTAACGGCTGTTGTCAACGGATCTTGGTGTGTGAGAGTGAGGCAGCCTCTTATACCTTCTTAGGGTGATGGAGTGAACCCAGGGGATGAGGTTGGGGATAAAAGAGTAAACATATTTTAAAGGGTTTTCTGGCTCATAACTAGTCAGACAGCAGCATCTGCAGTGTGTGGAGGGGAACCCTCCACCCCAGTTTCTACCAGGATGGGTAATCTGTATTGATGGAAATGGCACATGAAAAAGGTTCATGGTGGGAAATTCTTCACCAGAATCTTAATAAGTACCCCAGGGAAATGTTTCGCTATCAGAAGGTGAAGACATTCCAAATGGGACTGTGAGCAAAACTGTTGTATTATGTATCTGCACAGAGAACTGAGGAGAGGGATGGGATAGCACTGCACTTCCTTCTTCCCCTGTAAAAGAGAGGGAGCTGGTGGAGGCTGGATCCTTTACCCTCCCCTGCCCAAATAGAAATGGGGGATGAGGGGCTAGAGCCTCCTTCACCCCTACTTTGTAACGGATGGAAGGCAACAGAAGTTATTATTTCCTTCTTTGCCTTTCAGCCAAGGCAGTGCGTGGCTCTCCCCATTTGCTTTCAGACTGTAGGTTATGGATAGAGGACAAGGTCTTTCTTTAGAGGAGGAGTATAAAGGGATTCCTTGTTTTCTCTCAGGTGCTATTTAGGGATGTAAAATCCCATTTAATTGGCTAACTTGTTAAACATATTGTTTACCTGGCTAACTAACTAAAGGGGAGCAAGCAGGGGGCCGCTCCAGCCTGGCTAGAGCAGCCCCCCATCTGCCGCTGGGCTGGAACGTGATTCCCACCCAGAGCAGTCCCTGCCTGCACTACGTCACCCCTTGTTGTAGGCCTACAGACAGGGGTTGCTCCAGCATCCCAACTGGAGCAGACCCTGCTTGTGGGGAGCCTGGGGTTGCCACAGACCAAGGTTGCTCCAGCTGAGATGCTGGAGCAGACCCTTCCTGTGACAGGCCAGGGAGCCCCAGCAGGCAGGGGCTGTACTGGAGCAGGCCCTGTGCACAGAAGGCCCCTCACAGTGAAGCTTAACTGGTTAAACCTTCACATTCCTAGTGCTGTTGCTGTTCCACTGGAAGAAAAAGACTCCCCTCTTCCTCCCCCCAAGCCAGAGAATGAGGAGCTAAATTCCACTCTTGACTTAACCTTTGCTTACTTAGTTAATAGCACCTTTGATTTCAAAGGGCGTAAGCCACTGGTCAGCCTAAGGGTTCTTGTTTTCTTAATTCCTCCTAAGAGGCCTACATTGATGTATAGAGTGCCAAAGTCTGAAGACTTATTTACATACCTAAGTGAGCCTCTTGTCTTGTACACCAGTGCCAGCCACCCGCCACAAATTGTTTTTCAACACGTTAGGCAGTTCATTAAATACAAATCAACACAAGCTGTCTTAAGAAAGTGGTTTGTTTGTCCCTCTATCTAGGGTAATTTCGCCTAGCAAAGACAAATATTTACTCCCTGCGTAGTAAATATGGTGAGCACTCAGACTGTCAGGGCTACTGTAAATAACCATTTCATTTCAGTGAAAACTTAACAGGAGCCTCGGTTCCCTCATGGGGAAGAGTTATAATGTTGCCAGAGATTGAAAGATTAGTTGGCTTTACCTGGAGACTGTTTTCTTCTATCTTCTTCTGGAGTATCTGAAGGCACTTGGTGAAGTCAGTGAGGTCTTGATCTGGTGTCTCTATCAATTCACACCCCTAGCAATAAAAATAGGAAACAAAAGAATAAAAAAGGTTGATTATTTCTCAGTTGCAAGAACAAGAAAAATATGATTTCTCTAGTCATTTGCTGGTCTTACATGATTATCCACATTGGAATGTATATTGGTTTAGGTTGTTAATTAAATGAACTGTGGTCCCACTTGCCCACAAGTTTGTGCACAGTGATGCAGAAGTAGAATACAAACAATAAGGCTGAGATAGGCATGGGGCTTAAGTCCTCAGCAGACCTAGATACACAAATTACCCTCCTAAATTCATGCCTACCCCTCTGAGAAATCTAGAGAGAACTCTTGAATATCTGGATATGTATGTCTGTAAGTACTGTGTTGGCTGGGGTCTTCCCAAGACCATGGTTGGAGTCTTCCCAAGCAATGAGCATTGCAAATAGGCAGTTCCTTGTAGGATTAGCTTCTTTTCCTCTCCTGTGCTGCAATTGTTATATTTCTGCTATATGCCACAAAACTTTTGCTAGTTCCAGTAAGCTGATAAGTTAATGTGCAATGATATAAAAATCAAGCCTTCTTATAATAGAAAATGTAAGAAAATGGAGCCGAGCTGGAGTTCAGATTTGTTAATTCAGAGCTAAAATAATTCCTAAGCCTCTGGCAAAGAGCTGAGTAAGGAAAAAGTAATGTCTACCACAAAGTCACCATTCAAAGAGGTTTCAAGGATACAAAACACTTGTATGGCATCATAAATTATAATAAGAACCATACTTGCTAGATTTAGAGGTTCTCATACCTACCATTTCAAGGTCTCTTTAAAAGCTTTCTGGCTCTATGTCTGTCTGATTAATTTTACATTTCTGCCCTACACGGTAGTGACCGATAAGAAAATTAGGTTCTTGCCACTCAGAACATATTAGAGTCTAAAAAAGTATTGCATACAATGTTGGTAAGGCAAATAAAAACAAATCTTGTCAAGTTTCTCCTCCACTTCCATGGTTAAAATATAGGGCCAGAAATGAAAAAAAGAGAGAGAGGCAGAATTCACTAGTGCAGCTTGCAAGTAGCACTTAGTTATTTGCCTACAGCAAAATGATAAATCCCCAATAGCAGTAGTAACCTCTTATTTTCCTTCCTGAAACGTGTATTCTGTTCTGTTCTTGCTGTAGTTTACGTATCAACAAACCAAATGGTAAGAAACTGAAGAAGGGAAAAAAAAGAAAGGAATCCATGAGAAGGGAATGGTGAATATTTTGTTCCAAACATGTATGCACACCTCAAAATTCTTTGAGGCCAAACCAGTTTACTTATGAAGAACAAAGCGATGGCTCTTCTGCCATTTAAATAAGCGAGTGTCCTGCATACACTTGTATTTAAGATGAAAAAAATCGCTGTATGCATACTCAATCTCTTATTGGACTTAGGAAACATTCCAATACCGTAAAGTTTAGCATCATGTTAGGGTGCCTGCCACCATGACACCATAGACATTGGTAATGAATGAGTCCCTTGAAGCACCCATACATAAGTTTATTAACCTAATTAGTCTCAGATGTTATAGTCATCAACATATTTGAAAAGTGATTTTGGTTTTTTTGCAACATCTATTAACATTTTTCATAACTACATTGCAGAGTATTACTGAGTACAACCCCCACCCCAGAATTCACAAAGCTTCCTCCAAATTCTACACAATTCTTGGGACCATGTCATTAGCCATATTGGTGTGATATCATTCAGTAAGTGAGGGAGGCTTTGTCTAGTCTACCATGGGCTGCTGATGTCAGTTATGCAACTTCAACTACAACAATAACTTAGCTAAAGTTGAGGTACTTAGGTCTGTTTATCTTCGCTGTATTAAATAAATAGCTGACACTTTCCCATTGATTCCATCTACTCTTCTCTTGTGGGAGTACCGCAATTGACAGGAGAATGCTCCGCAGTCAATTTATCACCTCCTGAGATTGATCGCTGCCAGTCAATCCCACAGGCAGTGAAGACGTGCCTGAAGACCTCTCTCGCAAGCCCCAAAGTTTTGACTCCCATCTTGGAATTGGTTTCTGAATATTTAGAGATAAAGTCACACTACTTTTCTACCATTGCGCTGTACATTTTGCCCCTAAAGGAGAACAATTTCTTCCTGCAACAAAAAGCTTCCAGTTCAAATATTCACCATCTGTTGTCTGCAACAAATAGCTATGCTGGAAGTTGCCCACCTGTTCTTGGATACAGCCTGTTGGACTGAATCCCTGCTGGTTCCACTCACCTCGTCATATTTTACTTCGATTCCACAGAAGAGTCAGGTGGCTTTCTGAATTACGTGGAATCTATATCTAACGGTTTCTCACTTAACAGCTTTCCTAGGGCTGATACAGCATCTGATTCTTGCACTTTCCTCTCTCTAAAATGGCCTGTTGAAGGGAAAAGGACTGGGTAGGGATCGTTGAATTGAGAAAGTAAATGCGTGGTTGCACAGGTGGTGTCGCAGAGAGGGCTTTGGTTTCTTTGACCATGGGACTCTGTTCCAGGCACAAGGATCGTTAGGAAAAGATGGGATCCGCCTAACAAAGAGAGGAAGGAGCATCTTCGCAGGCAGGCTTGCAAACCTAATGAGGAGGGCTTTTAACTAGGTTTGTTGGGGGATGGTGACCAAAACCCTTAGGAAAGTGGGGAAGTCAGATACTGGGAAGAAAGGCAAAGAGGAATGAGCGACAAAGGAGGACCCCTGATTCAAATGGAGAAGGTAGGGCAATCAACTGGTTATCTAAGGTGTTTGTACACCAATGCGAGAAGCCTGTATAACAAACAGGAAGAATTGGGAGCCCTGATCCAGTCCAAGAACTACAATTTGATTGGGATAACAGAGACTTGGTGGGATGACTCGCATGACTGGAGCACTGTCATGGAAGGGTATAAACTGTTCAGGAAGAACAGGCAGGGGAGAAAAGGAGGAGGAGTTGCACTCTGTGCAAGAGAGCACTATGATTGCTCAGAACTCCAGTATATAGAGGGAGAAAAGCCTGTTGAGTATCTATGAGTCAAGTTTAAAGATGTAAGCAACAGAAGTGATGTTGTGGTTGGTGTCTGCTACTGGTCACTGAATCAGGTGGATGAGGTAGACGAGGCTTTCTTTGGACAACTGAGAAAAGCTGACAGATCTAAGGCCCTGGTTCTCATGGGGGACTTTAATCACCCTGACATCTTTTGGAGACCAATACGGCAGTACACAGACAATCCAGGAAGTTTTTGGAAAATGTTGGGGATAACTTCTTGGTACAAGTGCTGAAGGATCTGACCAGTGGCCATGCGCAGCTTGACCTGCTGCTCACAAACAGGGAGGAACTAGGAGGGGAAGTAGAGGTGGGTGACAACCTGGGAAGCAGTGATCATGAGATGTTAGATTTCAGGATCCTGACCAAAGGAAGAAAAGAGAGTAGTACAATACACACCTTGGACTTCAGAGACCTGATGGGCAGAATCCCCTGGGATGCAAACATGAAGGGGAAAGGAGCCCAGGAGAGCTGGCAGTATTTTAAAGAAGCCTTGTTGAAGGCGCAGAAAGAAACCATTCCAATGAGTAGCAAGAGAAGCAAATATGGTAAGAGACTGGATTGGCTTACCGGGAAAATCCTTGGTGAACTTAAGCACAAAAAGGGAGCTTACAAAAAGTGGAAACTTGGACAGATGACTAGGGATGGGTATAAATGCATAGCTCGAGAATGCAGGGGAGTTATCAGGAAGGCAAAAGCGCAACTGGAATTATCTTATCTTGTGAAGGATAACAAAAAAGGTTTCTACAGGCATGTTTGCAAGAAGAATGTGATCAGAGAGGGCATGGGGCGCCTCCTGGATGCGGGCGGTAACCTAGTGACAGATGATGTGGGGAAAGCTGAAGTACTTAATGCTTTCTTTGCCTCTGTCTTCACGGACAAAGTCAGCTCCCAGACTAATGCGCTAAGTGACACAATATGATGAGATTCAACAAGGACAAGTGTAGCGTCCTGCACTTGGGATGGAAGAATCCCAAGCATTGTTACAGGCTGGGGACCAACTGGCTAAATAGCAGTTCTGCAGAAAAGACCTTCCAGAACTGGGGTCCTAATCTATAGGCAATAAAAATCACAATATTAGTTGGGACTGGTGTAGCTGGATCTCAGAGTCCTTTACAACAACCCTAGCAGGCAAGAGCCATTTCATTTTTGTACATGCACCTAAACTGTATCACACAGAATGAATAATCCCAATTACTGCTACCTTTATTTGGTACTGGGGAGGCCACTCCAATTGTGGACCCCCATTACAGGAAGGATGTGGATGCACTGGAGAGGGTCCAGCGGAGGGCGACCAAAATGATTAGGGGGCTGGAGCATATGACCTATGAGGAGAGGCTGAGAGAGTTGGGTCTATTTAGTGTGCAGAAGAGAAGAGCGAGGGGAGATTTGATAGCAGCCTTCAACTTCCTTAAGGGAGGTTCCAAACAGGCTGGAGAAAGGCTATTTGCAGTACTGATGGATGGCAGAACAAGGAACAATGGTCTCAAGTTGCGGTGGGAAAGGTCCAGGTTGGACATTAGGAAAAACTATTTCACTAGGAGGGTGGTGAAGCACTGGAGTGAGTTACCTAGGGAAGTGGTGGAGTCTCCATCCCTAGAGGTGTTTAAATCTCGGCTTGACAAAGCCCTGGCTGGGTTGATTTAATTGGGATTGGTCCAGCCTTGGGCAAGGGGCTGGACTTGATGGCCTTCTGAGGTCTCTTCCAGCTCTATGGTTCTCATAGAGCTTCTTTGTTGTTCTATGATTCTATGAACAACTGGGAACTTCTTTTAATTGCTGGGACTTGTCTGTTTCCTTTCTTGACTGCATTCCTAAATTCTCCTCCCTGCAAACACACCCCACAGGGTTTGACTAGTCTAGTCTTCTCAGTTCACTACTAGAAACCCAAAGCAACTGCCACTTCCACTGTCACTTCAGGTCATCATGTGCAACTTTATGTTGTCCAGTCACAAAGTCTCAGAGGATTTTCAAAGATTTG